TATCTCAATTCTACTTTTATCAATTTATCTCATATCAATTGATTCGAATGATAGAAAATGCTCAAAGTCAATGACTTTATTCTGGAAATTTTTGTGTAAATTGCAATGCTCAGTGATTTCAAACTTTTGGTCGGTAGTGTATGTAAGTTATAAGTATGGTCATACTCTTACTTTGAACCGCATTTCTCATAACTTTCCCATCGGGAAAAATGACACTTACATTTTTCGTTCCGGGCGTATGCCAAAATTGGCCTTTTTTTAACAGCCTCCTTTCAATTTTTTCGGTTATTTTAGAAACATTAGTGAATAGTATTTAACGTATACGTATAATAGTAATACTTATCTATTACTTCTACAAATATATGCAAAATTATTGAGTTCTACAATAATAAGGCAAAATAAAAATCGTTGGTCGAAAAATAAGGACCACTCTACAGTAGAAGCATCACAGTTGAAAATTAAAAATTTCTTTCTAATATTGGAATACTATATCTTACGTTGCTTGTTACATTTCTCTAAAATTTACACATTTTCGTCCACACGAGCTTTCCATTCGGATCGAAGCGCGAGAGAATGGCAATAACGACCGAGGGAAAGCTGTTTCTCGATATTTTTCAGAGAAAGATAAAGTAAATGAGAGACAGTCCACTAGAAAGGTGATATAAAAGGTGGAAACGCGTCAGATCGCGAGCTCGCTTCCGACTTTGCGCCTCGATTTTTCCTTGTTTTCGTTACGCCGCGGCGAATTTAGGCCGCCACTTCTAGTCTCTCATACTTCCCTCCTGTTATTTCCTCCGTCGTTTATCCGCCACAGCCGAAAAGTATGCTTCGTTGTCGACTCCACTAGCCGACGTATCGACAGCCAGCTATCGAACCATCGGGATTGAAACGCGGAAAGTGCGGCCGCCGGATTTTTAGCAATGGCGACGGGACCAGTCACTCTATCGGAAACAGAGCTTGCACAGGCTGTTTTAAGATAGTGGTCCAAGAGCTTTTTCAACTTGATTATTTGGAGTACGAAGAAATTTTTGTTACTATTTTTGCCGTTACTTTTCACGGTCTTGAGATAATAAAAATTTTATTGGGAAAAGTGCAACGCTGACTCGATTATTTATTTATTTCCACGGGTGTAGATCAATTGAATATAGCATAGACCAATGTCAAAAGTTACAGAAAGAGAAAAATTAAATTAAACGAGGAATTAACCCCTTGACTTATAGCAACCAGTCAAACTCGTGGCACAGATTCTGGTCAAGATGTGAGAAAAATAGTTGTATCAGTAACAAAAATTGATTTTAATCCTAATTTTCGTTTTAATTTGAAAGACCGAGGATTGCTAGATGTAATGAATCTATAATACCTCAGCTTTTCTTACTTAAAATAGTATTTAAATAATAAATAGCCGACGCTTAGCTGCATAGTCAGGAAAAGAAATCATACGTCATGGGGTTAAGTGGAATCAAGTGTGGTAACAAAACGTTCAAACGTTCAACATGACGTTCAAAATTTTTAGTTGACAACATTTATTTTATTTTAATTATTCTAAACATTTGAGGCACTCCAATCACTGATGACCACCATGGCCATATCGAGGAAACAATCTAATGTTAATACCTATTGAGTGATTAATTTAATTTCATAATATATCGCTTTGGATGAATTACAAAAACAAATTGCTAAGAAATTACATTAAATAACTGTACACATTATCCGTCGAATGTAGAAGGAGAGGCACCGTTTGGTTGCCAATTGTTTATCACATAGAGTCAGCCTACCTCCA